CACTGCAGTTGTTAAGTTAGTAACATGGTTGTTAAGTGAATCTGGCTTCCTCCAGATTCTTTCTTCCAGTTCACTAAATGAATTGTTGTAAATCAAGGACTAGCTGAACCATATCCATTCTAAAAAGCTCTTGGAATAAAAAATGAGACATGAATACATTTCAGTCTGGGGGGAATTTTTAAGTTTATAAAAAGTCCCAAACTGAATTTCCCCACTTCTCTAAGCAAAATACTTGCTTGAAATTCTGGATGATTTCACATCTCAGTCAATTCTGATAATTTTGAGTCAGATGAGCTCAACATTATGCATACTTTCAACCTTAATTAGCATAAATGCCCAATTAAAATACACTGCACACCCTTAAAATTGAGCACAAAGTGGTACTTAGGCAGCCATTAAGAACAAGTAAATATAAATATGTTTTTCTTAAAGATGTCCAGTTGTGCTTGCAAGTCAAGGACCAACTGATGTGATGTAGTTTCCAAACAATTACAAAAAAGTACAACAAAACTTCTTTGAAATTCTTAAATTAGACTTAGAATTGGTTCGTGTACTGTGTTGTGCCACAATGGAGTCTACTGCTTGCTGCTTAGTATTTAATGCACTGTGGTTTATTTAAAATCAACAACAACACATGGTTTATGATTTAGCACAGGGGTCAAGAACTTACAACTCTGGGGCCACATGCAGTTTTTTCCAGAAGAGCTTAAATGTCTTCTGCAAACAGTAGCTTGTGAAACTGAAATCTGGTTTTCTACATTTTGAACTATGAAACACATGTATATTTTACTGCGTGCCTCAATGTAGAATGATCTAATAATAAAAACAGCCAGCCCAGCACTGTTTTATGACACGATCCCAAATACTTTTGTGGCTCTTCATACTCAGTGTTAAATGCAACTCTTATTTCCCAAAATATTTCCAACTCCTGCGTTGGTTTAAACAGAATTCATTCTGTTCCTTGGCCTCTACAAAAAGGGCAGCCTCCAGGCAACCTAATACTCATCTGATTTGAAGTATGATCAAGTTAATCCAGTCCGATGTAGGCTAAACCTGGATATAATCATACGTTGTGCCATGGGTGGTGTTCATTTCTTGAAGATAGGACTACTGAAAGGCAGGTAACAGGCCCTTGACAGATTATTTCTTTAAGATGGGAAGAGTTTTGGGAAAAAGAACCTCCTAACAAATAATAAACTGCAACATCAATTAGAATCAGCAGTAATAGTAAGAAAAAAAACCATCCTACTTATCAAAGTCCAACACTTACAGATAACTTGTCAGCAGTCAATAAAACATCCCTCCTGGGAAAACTACAATTTCAAAGAATACCTTAAAGAGTCTCTGTAAACTTGTCAGTATGACATCTGGAATACTTCTGGATCAATACAGAAGTGAGTTGTTGTTAGTCGCAAAGTTGTATCCGACCCATCACAACCTCATGGACAATGTTTCTCCAGGCCTTCCTGTCCTCTACCATTCCCCAGAGTCTATTTAAGCTCACACCGACTGCTTCAGTGACTCCATTCAGCTACCTCATCCTCTGTCGTCCCCTTCTTCTTTTGCCCTCAATCGTTCCCAGTGTTAGGCTCTTCTCCAGTGAGTCCTCCCTTCTCATTAGGTGGCCAAAGTATTTGAGTTTCATCTTCAGGATCTGGCCTTCTAAAAAGCAGTCAGGGTTGATCTCCTCTAGGACTTCCAGTTTGATTGCCTTGCAGTCCAAGGGACTTGCAGGAATCTTCTCCAGCACCAGAGTTCAAAGGCCTCCATTCTTTGGCGCTGAGCCTTTCTTATGATCCAACTTTCACAGCCATACATTGCAACTGGGAAAACCATAGCCTTGACTATAGGCACTTTTGTTGGCAGGGTGATGTCTCTGTTTTTTAGTATGCTGTCTAGATTTGCCATAGCTTTCCTCCCCAGGAGCAAGTGTCTTTTAATTTCTTGGCTGCGGTCCCCATCTGCGGTGATCTTGAAGCCCAGGAAAATGAAATCTGTCACTACCTCCATTTCTTCCCCATCTATTTGTCAGGAATTGAGAGGGCTGGATGTCATGATCTTAGTTTTCTTCATGTTGAGTTTCAAGCCAACTTTTGCACTCTCCTTCTTCACCCGCATCAAGAGGCTCTTTAGTTCCTCTTCACTTTCTGCCATTAGAGTAGTATCATCTGCATATCTGAGGTGATTGATATTTCTCCCGGCAATCTTCATTCCAACTTTTGATTCATCTAGCCCTGCCTTTCTCATGATGTGCTCTGCATATAAGTTAAATAGGCAGGGCGACAGTATACAGCCTTGCTGGACTCCTTTCCCAGTTTTGAACCAATCAGTGGTTCCGTGTCCAGTTATCACTGTTGCTTCTTGACCCGCATATAGGTTTCTTAAGAGACAAATAAGATGGTCTGATACTCCCATCTCTTTAAGGACTTGCCACAATTCGTTGTGATCCACACAATCAAAGGCTTTAGTATAGTCACAGAAGTGAGATCACTACCAAAAAGGCCTCTCCAACCTATCCAGCTGCCTGTTCTCACAAACAAGACATAGGAAGGTAGCTTCCCATTGAGCACCTTAAGAGTTGAAGTTCACAACCATCATGGCATAGATGGTGTTTCTCAACCTTGGCAGCCTGGAGATGGATGGATTTCAACCCCCAAAATTCTCCAGCCAACATGAGTGGGTGGGGAATTCTGGGAATTGAAGTCCACGCATCTTCAAGTTGCTGACGTGGAAAGATACTGGCATAGATAATGAAGGATGATATTATGAATGTATGCATTTAAACCATTGAATGCAAATGAAACAGCTTGCATTTATTTAGATGTACAAGCTGCTAAATGAAAAGACTGCAGGTGGCTTGCAGAGTCTAAATAGCATAGCAAATATAACATAATCCTTTTTTTAAAAAGTATTTTTTTTTCTTTCTCTGTTTACCAAAGCGGGAAGTGTTTATTTTCAAAACCACTCCTGGGAGAACTTTATTTGGAGGGAGAGGGAGAGGGAGAAACAGAGAATGTCTCTGTATTAAGATTCTCTCTTTGATTGGCTTAGATTAATTAACCCAACTTAATCAGTTTGGCCTCATTATCTGCAAGCAAGTCTCTCTGTTTATAATGGGACTTTTGCCTTAATAAACCAGTTTAAGAGTGCAAGGTTTGGCTACCGTCCTCTGCTCTAGAGATTTATCTATTTACTTAATTCCAACAAATCCTAGCAGAGTTTCAACAACTTAATATACATTAGCATAATTTCACATTATATAGTATTGTATAAATTTTCATATTCATCCTTTTATACTATACTATCTATCTTAAGTTTTATAGCATTTAGTTTAGTTTACTTTATTGTCATTGCACCTCGTATAATGAAATCAAACACCATCTTCAGTGCACATCATGACCATGAAAATAAACACACACATCCTTCACACTCCACACATTAAACCGAAAACCCCCAACACTACACCAACACTGCACTATATAATAGAATTCAAAAGAGCTACTGCCCTGGGATAGAAGCTGTTTTTCAGCCTATTTGTCCTTGGTCTTATTATTTTGTACCCTCTGCCAGATGGTAATAGTTCAAAAAAAGCGTGCCCAGGATGAGATGGATTTTTGAGAATGTTTTGAACTTTCTTAAGGCAGCAGGAGCTATAAAAGTCTTCCAAAGAGGGGAGAGGGTAATCAATAAATTAGATTATATGCTAATTGTAATTTTATAGGGTGCTCCGACATCTTAATTCCTGAATGTTATAATTTTATGTCTATAATTTTAACTTTATCTTCTTTTATTCTATCAATGTGATTTTATATAAAACCACTTTAGAAGACATCTGTTGGGTTCCCCTAATCAACTTCCACAGATTGAAAAGGCTACTCGGATAATAAGCAGTGAAACGTTTCAAACCAGCAAGAAAATAAGTCCAGCTGCCGTGATTCAACTTCCAGACAATTCTATCCAGACGACTTAGAATCTTCATCAGCATGGTTGTTATATATTTTTATATTTCTACTTCCTAAAGAAATAATTGTGTTATTAATTCTATGCTTGTCTATGACCAAAATGCAATTAAGTGACTGATGTTTACTTAATTTATACAGCTGCCCATTTCACACCTGTGACATCCAGGCAGCTTACCATAAAAAAAGGAATAAAATACATGCAACAGAATAGAGTACAGGTAGTCCTCAACTTATGACCATAAGTGAGCCCAAAATGTTGCTAAGTGAGTCATTTGAGTTTTGCCCCATTTTACAACCTTTCTTGCCATAGTTGTTAAATGAATCATTGCAATTAAGTTAATAACATGGTTGTTAAGTGAATCTGATTTACCCATTGACATTGCTTACCCATTTTGCATCAGAAGGGTGCAAAAGCTGATCACATGACCCCAGGACATTACGACCATCATAAGAGTCAACTGTCTGAATTTTGATCATGTGACCATGGGGATGCTGCCATGGTTGCACATGTGAAAAGTGATCTTAAGTCACTTTTTCCAGATGTAACTATGGATGGTCACTACATGAACTGTTGCACTTCATTCATCCAAGTGTGATTAGACACATTAGGAATTTGTCTCTGGTGCAGAAGCTCTCAGTGTACATGCAAAACAGAACAATAATGCAAAATAAATTATTCTTATGTAATATTAATATAATATATATTGCTATAATAATATCAATAAGAGGGGGGTATCAAAGAAGATAAGGATAATACAGGTAGTCCTCGACTTACAACCACAACTGAGTCCAAAATCTATGATGCAAAGTGAAACATTTGTTAAGAGAGTTTCCTGTCCCAGTTGTTAAGTGAATCACCACAGCTGTTAAGCTAGCAACCTGGTTGTTAACTGAATCTGGCTTCCCCCATTGACTTTCCTTGTCAGAAGATTACAAAAACTTATAACGTGACCCCAGGCCAAGGCAACCATCATAAAAACGAGTCCGTTGCCAAGTGTCCGAATTTTAACCATGTTAAATCATGGGGAGGTTGCTTACCTATGGAGATCTCCTGCGCGAAGGCGAGCGAGATGAGGAGCAGCGGCAGCCCGACGGCGATGCAGGTGACCAGCTTGTCGAGGGCCAGCTCCAGCCGCAGCCCCTTGTAGCGGCTCTCCGACGGCTCCTTCAGCAAGAAGTCCGAGAAGACGTACTCGGTGGCGATGTGCGCGATGGCCATGGTCGCGGCAGCGGCAGGGACGGCGGCCACCCAACAGAGGCACCTCGAGCGCGCGCAGCCCGGCCCCGCTCCTCTGCGCCGCTCAGCCGGGTATCATCTCTAATTCCAGCCGCCGCCGCCGCCGCCGCCTTGTCCCCGGCACTTGGCCAGGGGTGTCTGCCTGCCTGCCCGCCCGCTGCAACAGGGTCCCCCTGCCGCCAGAGAAAGCCCGGCCTGGAGAGGCGAGGCGACCCAACCGGCCTTTGTTTGGCGCCCTCTCCGAAGGCAGCCGAGCATTGGCGGGGAGAGAAGAAACACCTCACACCGCCTCCTCCTCCTCCTCCTTCTCCCCGCCGGCCTTTTGTCAAGGGGAGGCGGGGCCAGACGAGCTAGGGGGGTGGGGCCGAGAGGGGGGGGGGGAAACCGAGGGCGTGTGTGTGTGTGTGTGTGTGTCTGTGTGACACGCGGCCTTTGGGAAGCAGGTGGCTAGTTGGACTTTTCCCAAGGGAGCTCTCTCGCCTCAGGACCTTTTGGCTGGATATCTGCAGCCGAGCAGGCTGCAATCCGGGTTTCCTGCACGGGAGGGAGGGAGCTCAGGGCGGGTGTGTGTGTATGTGTGTGTGAATGAGTGAGTGAGTGAGTGTGAAGGCCTGGATGGACGCCACGGTCTGAGTGGGCTGTTCCGACGGTGTGTGTGTGACTCGAGGAGAAGTAGTAAAAAAAACAATCCCAAAGCTCCAGAACGGGCGGGACAAGATACAAAGAACGGATGGGAAATAAATGAAGGGGAGAAGCAACCTGGAACTGAGGAGAAATTTCCTAACAGTGAAGACAATTAACCTGTGGAACAGCTGCCTCCAGAGGTTGCGGCAGGTCCACCACTGGATGTTTTTTTTTTTTTTTAGAAAAAACCGGACAGACACCTGTCTGAGATGGTATAGGGTTGGACTAGAAGACCTCCAAGGTCCCTTCCAACTTGATTCTGATTCTGATCAAAAACACGTGGGCGTGGGATTAAATTCCCTGAAAATCAAGCTTCTTTGAAGGAGACCTTATTGTGGGTACTCCAACAGCGAAGGCTTTTAAGAAGAGACTGTACAGCCATCTGTTTCAAATGACATATAGGGTTACCTGCTTGAACAGGGGATTGGACGAGAACAGTGGTCTTCAACTGGTGGGCCGGGGACCATTGGTGGCCTGTGAGAGAATTTTGGTGGTCCGCAGAGAAATCTCTTTCCCCCCCCCACAAGCAATTAATCCAGGCTGCATAGGAAAACAAGGCTGCGCCGCCCACATGGCCCACCTACCTGCTGGCCCCCACCCTTCGGTCAAGCACAAACCTTATCTTGAGTAGAGCCCCGTGAGCTGGAAGGAACTGGAACTGGCAGGTAAGACCAACAGCCCCAGGTGGCTTGCTGAGGTTGGTGGGAAAGTCAGTCCCATATTCCAGAGCTGCCATAGTCACAGGACTGGCCCTTTGGTCATCCTGGAGTAGCTGCACTTTTACCCAGGTGCACCAGCCTGCCATGGACTGGAAGAGCTGCTCTGGGGTGACCAAAGGGCCAGTCTTGTGATTATTGCAGCTCTGGAATATGGGACCGACTTTCCCACCAACATCAGCAAGCCACCATCAGTCAAAATTCATATTAGTGGTCCGCGGGATTTAAAATGGTGAGTTTGGTGTTCCCTGAGGTCCAAATGGTTGGCGACTCCTGGAGTAGAAGACCTCCAAAGTCCCTTCCAGCTCTGTTATTGAATTGATTAAAGCAAGTTGTGACCTACTTTATGACATTTTATGCCACAGCTGTTAACCGAATCACTGCAGTTGTTAAAGTGACTTTTGTAGTTGTTAAAGGAATCTGGCTTCCCCCCCCATTGATTTTGCTTGTTGAGGAAATTGCAGAAGATGCTCATGTCACCCCAGAGCACTGAAAATGTCATACATACACGCTAGTTGTCAAGTGCCTAAACTTTGATCACACAACCGTGAAGATACTGCAACAGTTGTAACTGTGAAAAACTATCACAAGTCACTTTTTCAGCTGCTATTGTAACTTCAAACCACCACTAAACAAATGCTTGTAAGTCAAGAACTACTTGTAAGTAAGAGAGAGCGGGAAGGCGTTTGCCTGACATGCTCTGTTGGGTTAGTGCAACATCTGGGTGATCAAGGCAGAGTAGAGGTTGGATGGGAGACCACCAGGAAATCTCAGGGCAGTGAGATAGATGGGGAAAATTAAAAACAAAATCTTAGAGGAAAAAGCAAGCTAATTATATATTGTTCTGGCTAAGAAAATTGCCAAAACCTGTCTACATGGTCATGAGATGCTTAGTTTAGGAGCCATTACCATTTTTGTATGGTTCAGTGCACACCCCATTAATTGGCATCGTTTGTGGTTCAGCTTAGCTTGGTCAAACCAGGAAATGGGTTAATTCAATATCCCAATGTCAGAAGACATTGGCTACAAAACACATTTGCCCTAAGACTATTAAATCCATAGTGTACTGGTGATGCTATATTAGTAAATATGGTATGTTTATTAATGCTAATATGTCCAATTGTTTTGCCTTAATTTCATTTTTAAAAAGACTTCCTAGTCGCCTTTTCCTAGATCTTCAAATTAATAGCAAAAGCACTTCACAATAGCATTTCAACTTATATATCACTTTATAGTGCTTTACAGCCATCTCTAAGCAGTTTACAGAGTCAGCATCAGTATATGACAATTCATAGTGAGGTCTAAATATATATTTATATATACATATATTAATTGTTTTGAATTTGGATTCTTTGACTTTGCTCACTGACTTTGCTCCCAGTCTATCTTCTTCTCTCCCTATGGAACACAGCAATAGACTTAGACTTATATACCACTTCATAGTGCTTTTACAGCCCTCTCTAAGCAATTTGCAGAGTCAGCATCTTGTCCCCAACAACCCAGGTCCTCATTTTACCAGCCTCAGAAGGATGGAAGGCTGAGTCAACCTTGAGTTTGTCAGAATCGAACTCGAGGCTGTGGGCAGAGTTTGCCTGCAATACTGCATTCTAACCACTGCGCCATTATGGCGCAGGAAGCAAGACATTCATTTTCCAGGAAATGTAAAATTTACTTAAAATATTTTTTCCCCTTTGGTCACTTTGTTATCCCATTTTTACTTCTCTTTTAGATGGTTTACATTTTGTACGCTGATCTGGAGTGCCATCTGTAATGCAAATACACTCCAAGGGTGAAGCATAAATGTTTATATTAACTAAGCAATAATGCTATATTATGCAGCCAGGTAACACAGCAAAAAGTATTAAGCAATATGTAGTAGGTTAATAACTGCAGTAATTACAGGAAATACAGTCTGGAACATAATTCAAAGTATAATGCTTATAGTTTAAAATAATGTTTATAGTTTAAAATACATTAAATTGCTTGAAGAGACTACTTGAAGTCTTTCAAGAAGAGATTGGACTGCCATTTGTCAGAAATGGTGTAGGGTCTCCTGCTTGGGCAGGGGGTTGGACTAGATGACCTACAAGGTCCCTTCCAACTCTTGATTATCTGTTATCTGTAAAGAATTATCTGATGTCTTATGAATGTTAGTCTCTTTTCTCTCTTCCTGAAGGTAAAATGAAGGCCATGGGCCTGAGTTCAACTTTTCAAATTCTGGCTATAATGGTTTGATTTTAGTATAAACCCCTTATTTCAACTTTAGATGAAATTAGCTTATCTAGCCCTGTTTGAACCTATTTGCTCTTATCCATAATCTCAAGGCTTAAGTGTTGCCATACTAAGCCATAATTTGTTTTTAACCATTTGTTTTTAACAATTGGTTCACAGATAAAACCTATTGCTGAATCATATAAACTATGAATTACAGTACCAACTAACTATCATGTGATGCGTAAATTTATCCAAAATCTGAACTGGAACAACTGGATTTAATTAAGAGATCACAACAACCTCAGCAGTTTGAAAACCTTATTCATATTTCTAATCACAGCAGCTAAAACTGCATAGAGAATTACTTTTATGTTTGCACAACATATAAAGGCAACATCAGACAAAATAAATTATGGCTTAAGGTGTGGCATGAACCAAAATTTATATTGCCAAAAGCTTTTAGTGGATGCAAATATTGGATTAAATCCAACGTTGGCTGGAATAGACCTTTGGATTTGGACTACAACTCATCCATATTTCCTAATAAATGCAAGGAAATAATTAGGATTCTGCGAAGTTTCAGTTTGGAGATTAAATTTGAAGTTGGTCCAGTCAAATCGTTGAATCTATATCTACTTCTGAAATGGACCAGTATGTCACATTAAATAAAAGCAAATATATTGTTTCTGAAATACTAGAAAAATCAAGTTGGCCAGTTTTTGAAATTATTGAGTTAACAGTCAGTTCAAATCAGTTTCTTAGTCTGTAGCTAATTCAAGCACTTTTTAATTATTTTTTAAATTTAACATTAAAATTCTATAGACAGCAGCTTTTATCACATTTGGTAACTTTTAGTACTATATTTGATTATAACATTTTAAGACCATGGGATGCTTTTAAGGTTTAGAAACAATATACATTGTAATGATCATAGTTTTCAATGCTACATATGTTGCACTTTCTAATAGTTATAAATTGATCCAAAATCTTGTAACAACAAACATATTTCTTTGTCTTGTTATATTTTAACAGCTCTTATGATGAGGGGCAGGGTAATCTATAGTATTTAATTCCATTTTTATAGCTGCCCATCTCAACCCAATTTACTGGTTACTAAACTTGAGCAGAGGTTGGACTAAGGGGACTTAGTCGATATGGAAGGAAATCAACAACCATTATGTAAACATCAGCCTTGAAAGATAGGAAAAGGTTAGGAGAAAAAACTAAGAATGCCCTACTTTTATCTTCTTTAATATAAAAAGGAATGAAAAGAATTTCAGGCATTCAAGGTTCTGCTGTTAAACCCCATAACAATAGTATTAGACTTTCAGTATTTCAGACAGTTTCTTGACATGGTTTGCCTTTGAAAGGTTGACAGCTACCTTATAACTTGGCATGATCTATGAACTGATGTTCTTTTTCTTGGGATTATCCTTAGGCGAATAAGATTT